ACACCATCTTCGGGAAGATCATCCGCAAGGAGATCCCCGCCAGCATCATCTACGAGGACGAGCAGGTGCGGGCGGTGCGGAGCCGCCCGGGGCGGGGGGGTGTGTGGAGTGTGGGAGTGTCAGCAGTGTACAGTACAGCACAGCCTCGCTAAAGCTGCCGTCTGTCTTACTGGTGCACTTAAAAATTAGGGGTTGCCTAGAGCGGTGTTTTCTTAGCAGATACAAAAATGTTTTTCTGTAGAAGTCTTTCCTCATTTGTAATGTCTACGGCAGCGTAATCTGAGCGCTCTGCTTGATTGGGAACAAGGCCATTGACTTTGATGAGTGACTTGAGAGCGTGTAACCTTCTCTGACTGCCATTAGCGCAGAGTATTTTTCTGGAAGAGTAAATAACCGTAGTATCTCTGTTCATTTTTTTACCTTAAACTACGCAGAAACGTGGAACTGCTTTTAGTTTAGTTGAGTGTAGTGGGTGATCTTTAATTAATTTTGCAGACCTTATGAAGGTCTTGTTAGAGGTCACTGCAATATTAAATGGAGAAATGTGAAGAAGGCTTTTGGTTATTAATTGACGTGCAGAGGAAAGGAAACAATAAAAAATACATGTTTTCTGTGGAATTGAGTTAAACGTTATCACTGTTGTTTCAGTTGAGTCTAAACTTGGTTGAAACGAAGGGGGGTTTAGCGTGCACCGGTGGACTTCCCGTGATTGTGCCTTTGTTCAGGACTACTGCTTTCTGTCCCATAGAAAATTATTTGCTACTGGTCTGCTCATTAAATTCTTTGGTGCAGTTTGGCCATTAAATTCTGCCTCAAGGTGGACCATACAGAATAGAAAAACTGGTTACAAAATGGCCAACTCAAAAGATCTATTTAACTAGGTGGAGATTAGTTTTATTCACCCATTCTTTGCTTGCCACCCTTCACTGTTTGGAAAAAACAAGCAGTTTGCCAGAGACTTAAAACTGGGCATTATCTTCATGATATCTTAAAATGGGACAGACTGCAGGTATACGGCATAAGGCATTGTTAATATAAGTGAAGTTGGGGCTTTTCACTATCTTTACTGTTGGCAGAGATTGCTCTCAGATTTAAAAAGCAGTATACATCCATAGAAAATTCACTCTATTGATTCAAGAATAACTGAAAGATGTTTTTCTTTGTAAGGTGTTGGGTAACTTAGAGATGCCCTTTGGTTAGTAATGTCAGAGTTCACGCTCAGCACGGTCATGAGCAGGTTGTGGTGGTTGCGGTACCAAGTCCTGCTTCTGTGGTTTTTGCACAAAGAGGGATAGCTTCCTTTTCTCTTTCTTTGCTTTGTCTTCTATTTCTTTCATCTATTCCAGGTTCCTAATCTGATGTTTATTTGTTGTGCTTAGGTGCTGCTTGTAGCTTCTGATGGACAGTAGTTTCTATATTTGCATAAAATTAGTTGGGAGTTATCTACTTGTCTACAAATTGTTATTTGTGTTTCAGAAGTGATGCCTTTCACTTAGTTTGAAAATGTTTAAAGTAAGGCCAGTGATAAGATGTTATTTTGAAATCACACATAAATATACTTCTTACAGGCATGCATGCCATCAGCTCTGTTAGTTGTCTTAGTTGTTGTAATAATAATAATTGTTATATGGAATATAACAATAATGGAAATAATAAATCATGAACCTAGCTGCATATTAACTTGCTGAGAAGACTGTAGCTTTTAAATACTACCTAACACAGAATAACAATTTTTTTTTTCCATACAAGCAGGTCTTGGTAAGGAGGTGTTTTGTGTTTAGAAGCGAGAGGACTTTGAATAATAGATCACTCAAGAAAAATCAACATCTCTACTTGTGTTTGGGGATCTCATAATTAAATTCTTGCCTATCTCTGAAACAAGTTATTTTTATACTGTTTTCTCTTCCTTCAGTGCCTTGCGTTCCATGATATTTCACCCCAAGCTCCAACACATTTCCTTGTGATTCCTAAGAAGCCAATTGTCAGGTTGTCTGAAGCTGAAGATTCTGATGAATCTGTAAGTACTCTAGAAGCTTTCTGTCCACCAAACTATACTTCTATTTACTTTATATTTTAGTAGACTCTCCCCCTTTTCCTCTTGACATTTCAAATAGACAGAGTGGTTTTCCAAAGCTATAATCCTTTTCCTCTAGCTTAGAATGGGAATGGAGTTACAGGTTTCCAGTGAAAGTAGTGATATAAAGCAGAGTGTATCTCTGGGTGTATATTTGCAGTGCAAAATGCATTATTATTTTGGAATACAGTCTTGATGTCGGTTGTCATGGTTTACGGGCAGTAGTACCCCCAATATTGTGGGCTTGGGGTTTTTGGCAGGTCAGAGGTGGAGAAAGGGTAAGTTAGCTAGGGGTGCTGAATACTTAATTTTAAAATACAAATATCAAGTTAAAAGATATGGTAAACGTTTACATAAGATAAAATTACTTTTCCGCTGGAGTTATATATGTTGCCTGAAGAAATAATGGGGGCTTTAGCCATAAGATAAATTTTGCTTCTGTGACACTTTGGTAGTCTGTTACTATCTAGTTTTAAAAAAAAAATAAATCTGTAGTTCTTCTTTTCCACTATATTATGCATAGTCAGTCTCCATAGCTTGTCTTGAAAGTATCAGTTTTAGGTAGACAGCAGCTTGCAGAGCAGTGGGTGAATTTCTAAGAATTAGCTTACTGACTTACCTGAATGGTTCTCTGCTCTCATTCCTTCATTTCCTGCCCTCTCCACTTTTTGTGTGTTTTCTGTTTTGTTTTTGTTTTTTTTTTTTTCTCCTCCAGCTTCTTGGGCATTTAATGATTGTTGGCAAGAAGTGTGCTGCTAACCTGGGCTTGACCAATGGATTCCGGATGGTTGTGAACGAAGGGCCTGAGGGTGGGCAGTCTGTCTATCATGTACATCTCCATGTTCTGGGTGGTCGTCAGTTGGGCTGGCCTCCTGGCTAAGATTTTTACACCACAAGAGTTAACTGCATGCATATAAATTACCACCAAATAGATTTAATGTGTTGCTCATCAATCTAGCCACTGTTAATGTAATTTTTTTTAATGTGTGTCTACAAAGGGTAATAAATGTTCTGAACAACAGTCGCACAATAAAGATTTAGCATGTGGGAATCATCTCTGTCTGCTGTGCCTTACTGATCAGAATAATTCTGTAACTTAAAATAATGTTCTCTGGAGTTTCAAGTACACAGGGTGTTTCAGTCTGTTGTTAATGATCTTCTGTAGATAGTGATTTGCCAATGCATTTGAAACCTGAAGGTCCAACTGCTAAGCAATTTAATTCATGTCTTTGGGAAGAAAACTTCTAAGCTTTTTCAATGTGGCATGTAAATATTGATACTAGGCTGCTGCTAAAAGGTTTTTGAAAGGTGTTGTGTTTGTGAGATTCTGAACATGGTGTGCTAGGGCTGTGTCAGTACAGTGCAGTTTGTTGGCAACACACAGCTCCTGTTGAGTTCCCTGTCTATGGCTGCTTTATAAGCCCCATCTTTCTGATGAAAAGAGGTGAAACCTGTCTTAGTGGCAGCTGTGATAGTTCCGTAGCATGCAGGTATTTACTTCTATGCCCTGATTTTGATGGAATTGAAGACTTGAGATGAAAATATTGAACTATGTAGAGCCTTGTAAGATGCTTAGGACTTTTCGTCTTGGGACACAGGCAGCATGATGTAGTATATGTATACATTTTACATTCCAGATTTTATTAGGCAGACTTCTCCTTCAGTAAACAATAGTTCCTCTGTGTTGCTGCATACAGGTGTTCATGCAACACTGTCATCAAATCACCAAGACGAGTAATTTTATTGAAGTTAAGGTCACAGATGTGTCTGCCAATGTAAATATAAAGCAACGGTTCTTTCTGTTAAAATTGAGAAGTCCCAGCTAACCAGTTTTTATGATGGAAGATACTTGGAAGCCTTTAGGCAGATGCTTTAAGAAGAAACAGCGTATTTGTGAGTACCAGCGGTGTCAGGGAAAGAAATGCTGGAGTGTAGAAGATGGGCAGGCAAAGCTCTGAGTTGTGATTTCTATTCAAATAACTTGTGAGCTTGGTAAAGGCATTTGAATTCATTCAACTTGAAAGTATTCTGTAAGTACTTCTGAAGGTTATGAACCTTAGGAGTTTTTATCTTAAACTGTAAAATGAGGTAGTGCTTCTGAAGGTGGCTGCTCTGTAGCTGTGTTAGGAATAAAAAAGGTGGTCCTGCAGTGGTAGCTTGACAACTGTTCTCCTGGATGTCCTACACAGAAGTGAAAAGGAAAACTCTCCAAGCCCTATAGGTACAGCATCCCTCAGCAGTTAGCTGAATGTGTGTTGCAGGAAGATGGTGTCACTAGCAGACACAGAGGGGCTAAGGTAACAGCTTGTGACTGGGAAACTTGCCGTGGAAGGAAGTTCATGGAAGGCACTTAGGGATACTGAGATTAACTGTTGGCACCCAGAAGTGGGAAGGCACGTGTGATGTGTATAAACTTTTCTAATTTCACAGAATCTGAGATTTCTTTTCTCGTTTGTGTATGCTTTGTATCAACACTGGCATTCGTGAATTAAAGAATGACTGGTG